CAAACAGCGAAGCAGTGAAAACATAGTCGCAGCTTCGTTACAAAGACGTATGGAACTGATCAAGAGCAGTGTGTGAGTGTACTGAACCACAGCGACAAGCCTAACGAGTTCCCCAGGTCCACAGAAAGGGTGTTCATCCTGTTTTCAGAGAGAGGGGCTTGAATTCCTGAGCAAATCTCTACAGCAGTGATCGGTTTGAAAATGGAGCGCCAGCTTTGAGATGAAGAGAGAGGGGGGTTACTCAGTACGCACCTCCCTGTAGGAGAAACTAATGCAAACCATCTGCTGTCATACGAGTTGCTATTCAGCATCTGGCAGAGAGAGAACCAGTGAGCGATGCTGGTGTCTGCTATTCCAGACAGTTAGGATGACAATCAGACTAGTCTCTCTCTTGTACTCTCCACATGAGCCAACTCTCTCATAAACAAACTTCATTCTGACCAAACTTCCTTCCTTGTTCTTAAAGTTCAGAAGTTTTATCCCTCAACATGATTATATTCGTAACTCTGCCATTGCTGGAGAGTATTTCCTGCTGTCATTCAAGTTACCTCACAAGAAGAGAACAGCTCCTGTTCATTCACTACTGCAGTGAAAACTCCAACTTTAACAGGGTGTGTAAGGGATAGCTACTCCACACAAGATAAATTAAAAGGAGGATTATTGCAGGCATATATGACAGTACATATATTACTCAAATGTAAAAATGTAAAAGCTCTATTATGCTGACTGCATATTATGCAACCTTTATCTCTGGGCAACCCGACCTACAGGTTTAATACAACACTGGAGATGGCAGAATGTTAACAGGTTTCAGTCCTACCTGTTTTAAAAAAACATTGTTTGTTTGTGTATGTGTGTGTGTGTGTGTGTGTGTGTGTGTGAACAAAGCAACAGGTTTAAAGATGCCACAATGCCACAGTGCGTGGAACATACTGTTCACAGACATGAGATTATTCACGAGGCTCCCAAGTTTAAGGATGTTATTGTTCTGTGTTATTATTAAAAGGGCTTTTCTTCATATTCCTGAAGGCAAATTTAAACCCAAAACAAATGTTTATTTTGTGTTTTTGTGGCAAATAACTACACCTTGAGTTAAACGTGATGTCTCCACTAACAAAGCAGTAGCCATATTGTTAAAGACAAATAAAAAAAAGCTGTATTACAGCTGTATTATTATGTTCAACAGCCAAAGTGGGAATTGTGCCACAGAAGACTGTGGCTTGAGGACATGTTGCCAAAACACGACGACAAGGCCACACTACCTCCTCCATAACTTAGCTCTAGGCGTGTCTGCTGCAGGGATGGCATTCAGTAACCAGGAAAAACCTGTAATGCACACACACACACACACAACAAGGTGCACACAGAGTACACACACTCCACCTGACACTTGCTCCCTGGCTGCCTCTTCTTCCAAGACTAACCGGTTTTGATGAAGTGGGCTGTAGCTGATGCATCTAACTAATGTTTTTTAAGTGACTTTACATCTCTTTGGGTGTCACTCAGATAAGTCAAATTCAACAGCTCAGGAGTCACTGCTTTCTAATTACTTTCACTCCAGCCCATAAAAAGTCTGTGACTGTCTGAGGGACTGTCAGGGTGAACACAGGGGAGGAGGAGGGAGTCTGAGGTGACTTTTACTAACAGTGGGATTGATGGTAAACATGGGGAAAATAATAAAAAAAAAACACACACACATTTTAATTTTTGGGACTTATGAAGTACATTATATTGACTATATATTGATTACATGTGTTTTTGTTTGTTTGTTTGTTTGTTTTCTTTACCGATACTAAGCAATAAAGGCAGCAATATTGTTCTGCGGTATCCTTCTGTGTTAAATATGTGTATTACATTGGCTGTACTAAGTAAATGGTGCCATAATAGCTCAGTGTAAATGTCACTCACCATCCTTTGGCTTCAACAGTCGCAGTCTTCTCTGTCGTACTCCCCGAGATCCAGTATTTGTGCGAACCTCAGGAAAGTTCACACTGCCTCAGAACTCTAGTTGCTCAACCTAAAAACCAAGTGGACAAAAAAAATTCCAAAAATTTACACGAGATAATCCCGATTATGTCCTGAAAGCATGGATGCGGCTCCTTCAGTGTTGCCCTCCGTCCATTGTTACAGGCAGATTTGAGTCCGACACTGACAGCAGCGGAGTTCAAACTGAGAGCTGGATGGTAATTTACGGAGGGAGCTGTGCCGTCAAATATCGGATCTAAAAACATAACACAGGAAACTGGGCCAGAAGGTCCAATCAAAGGGCGCTGAACGCGGAATATGCTTAAATATTCATTAGTGGCTGGGAGTGGAGCGACTGGGCATGCGCGGCTTTGGTGGGACTTCCTAACAACAGAAAGTAAGCAAAAAGAAGTCAGCATCAGTCCCCCTTCTTTTTAAACCGGACCAGTCTTCTCACTTACTGTCTGTGCTGCCCAGTACATCCTCATGTTTATTGGCTTCATGGGCTGTACTGTGAAACCAACTGTAAAAACTATTTCCTTTAATAGTTAAATGCTTTTTTATTTTTGTATTGTTTACATCTCTCTTGTTTGTACATAGCAACCATTTATTAGAGTTTTGTCAACATGTATCAGATCTTATTGCACAGTTCACTCTTTTTCTTTTTACATGCTGCATGTGGAATAATCATTTGAACTTCACACACAGATGGAGGATCCCTTTGTCTCATTGTCTCAGTATCACTGGTCTTCATGTCTTTATATAACAGTGTTCATCTTCTGTCTGACTTCAGAGGATCTTTTACTTTTTTTTTTAAAGGTAGTCATCAAATGTTGTAATTCAGTCCCACTCTCTGCTCATACACATAAAAGTCCAACTTAAAGGCCTTTAGGAAAACTCTTTTGAAGTGCATGGGTGGCACCGGTATCCACTTCTCACAACCAGTCTCAAGCCAGACTGAGGCTTGCTTTGAAATGATGTTGGGCGGTGAGACGACTCTCTGGGTGTAACCTGTCTAACAGGCTGCCTCTGTACACATTATATGTACATTTTGTGTGTGTGTGAGTGTGTGTGTGTGTGCTGCGTTAACAATTTAGATGTACTTTTACATTTAAGATGAATATTCATCAATATCAAATTATGTTGAAGACTCACTTGTATTAAATATCACTGCCCAGTATTTATTGTTTGATGTGGCAAGTAGCACCAACAAACAAACAGTACTGAATAATAGATACATAGGGTATAATTCACAGAGCTTTGGTGATGCTGTTGGTGCAGTATTTTGTCACCACCCAGTGGACAAGACGAGCATTATGAAACATTGTTTATTTCATATTTTTATATTTATTTATATTTAGATGTCACAGCAGGGCATTTACCAAAAACATTACAGTATACAAACATTATGTCATGTGAGGTTGATTTCTATACTACAACTACCAAATATAAAATCAATTTTACATGCATACAGCAATGGGAAGCAAATGTGTTTGGTTACAATAATTGCTTTAGTTTTCTATTGTGTGTAAGGCATCTACATCATCTGACTTTCTTCAAGCTGAAGACTGTGAACCTGCCCTTAAACCTGAGTAAACACTATTTTACTCATTTTTGCCATTGTCTCCTGAGCTTGTTTTTGGATTAACTTTCTGAGTGTGTTTCCTAACTGTGATGCTAAACACGACAAAAGAAAGATAAAATGCTAAGAAAGTGGTACCTGTGGATAAAAATACAGTAATTTTAAGGAAAGGTTGCACTATTGTGAGAATGAAGTTGTTACTGACTGAATATAAAGACATCTACTATCTACATCTAATTCTTTTGTCATTTTTGCCGTACTGAAATGTATGAAATATTTATGGTTGAAACTTTATACATATTTATATTTTGAATATTTCTCAATGAACACAATGATGAATTTGTCCCAGATTACAATAGTTCATTAGAAAAACTTAACCATTCTGATCACCAGTGTATAATACATCATGAACTGAACTTTCTGTGCAAAGTTAATGAGTAATTCATAAAGGTTTATGAGCAAATTAACTACTGATGCAAATAAGTAGCATTTTAAGAATAAACATAAATAAATAAATTGCCATTTAAAGGTCGTGCCAAAGCAATTTAGAAAAAATCATTATAAACATTTAAATTGGTGCCTCTTGTCTCTTGGGACCCCTGTTTCATGACTTAATGCGGATAGCTGTGGTGTTTTAATTCCTGGAATAGTTGGGACAGTTTTCCAATAGCCTTTATGTCTGTATCTGATTCCGCTTACGACCAAACGCTCCGGTTATTAACCAATAGTGCCATCTAGTGCATAGAGTCGACTACAGTAAATGTATTTCTGTTGGAAATTCAACCTAAAACATATGTTTTGAATGATGAGCTGATCTTTTTTGGCCTGAGCATCAGCATAAAGTGAACAAAATTGAAAAAATAAAAACCAACAAATCTTTGTTAATTTTGTTTGTCACCATGTTTTTTTTGGTATTGTGGTGCGTTTAAATTCGGGTTTGTGAAGAACACATTTGGTGTTAATTAATAGGCTACAGGCAACAACATCAGTATGGCCTCATAATATAAGTTTTATTTCCTTTATGTGCCCTTAATTTGCTATTGCTCAGTTGTAGACTGTTGGTTTATTTGAGTACAGTCTGTAGTTCACCTGTACCTGTGTGTGTGGAGTATAATCACAGTGTTATGAATGGAGTTTATTCCCACAGGAGTTTGTATGTTTTGTAAAATAAAGGCACTGTAAAAAAACAAAAACAAACAAAAAAAAAAAACAAGACACACCCGCGAGCCTCTATTCTCCCAGTGTCTCATGGGAGTTGTAGTCCATGGGTGGCGCACTGGATGAACGCTAACAAAATAAAGGTTGTCTTGTGTTTAAAATCACAAGGTTATCAACAGGCACCATCACGCACAGTTACAGGTATCCAGCTGGATTAGGGCGCAGCGTTTAGTCTCAGCTTTACTTAAAGTTTTAAGAAAGAAACTCCAGAGCGGAGCCCGGAAGTAGGGCGGGACCTCGGCTCTTTTTAAACATGGCCGTGAAGTCCTTTCCAGCATCGGGTCCTGCGTTTGGCTGAATTTGTTAAGACTTTCAGGAAGTCACTTGAGGGGTAAACTAATACCGTAACAGGTGGGAAGAAAATGTAGACACACAGCGGGCGTCTCCAGATTGTTTCCGTGGCTTTATATCTGCGTGGCGACGGCGTTAATACACTTCATGTACTACTTTTGTGCTAGGTAGCTAACTAGCCGAGCTAACGTTAACTTCTGTCAACTTTTTTTCCTCCAGCCAGCTAAACGCAATCTGCTAACTTGACCGCTCATCGAAATGGAGGAGTGTCGTCGCTGGTCCAGGCTGTGTCGATGAATATTTTACACGCGGAAATCTCGGATTTACTCAGCTAAAGGGCTGATCTAAACTTTCTTAAAAGCTCCTCTTTTTTTTGGTTGTGTTGTTTTGTTTTTTTCCGCTGGCAGCAGCCGAGGCGCCCCTTTAGACGGACATAAACAATGTTTTCTGTCAAGCCCCTGAAACCAACCTTCAAGTGTTATCTCCCTCCTGTACAGGTATGTATTTACTGATAACATAAGAGTTAACTTTGCACTGGATATAACGACACAGTGTCAAATAGTATTAGTATTGTATAAATGAATTAGGGCTGTTACAGTTGTCGTGACTGGGCTGTTGCGGAAGGAAAGTTGATGTTTGATGTGTGGTGAAGATTAAAAGCAAGAGAGAGCCAGAAAAAGACACAACGAGTTCAAATATTGAGTTTGAAATCGTTTAAAAGCATTTAACCAACTCCCTCTTTGTGTCTTCAAAGTTAAAGTCAAGTGAAATGTTGCTGGCTGGAGGAAGCAAGATTGTCTCCCTGCTCCTGTTTTAATTTGGTGAATTGAAACCCGGGCAGGGAAGTTGATACCATTTTGAAAATGAGACCAATTACTCAGCAATAATGTGGGTATAGACTCGTATCAGCCTTGCTTTGCCTACAGGTGTATGCACTTCTCCAGACAGCAAGTCAAAAGGCTTTGCTTACAGACGCTGGTGCAACAGCCCAAACAAACAGCAGTGTTTGAAAAGGCAAGGTCAAGATTAGTGATGGGAAGTGTTTTGTATTTGTATAACATTTTCCCATTGGCGTTTAGTTTTTAAAGCATGGTTCTAGTTTAAAACCAGCAGCATATTGTCATGCATGCTCTGGTCTTGGTAACTGTTAACAAGGTTAACCTGATTACTTATATTTGTGTCCAAATACATGCTTCCAAGCTAGTATTAAATGCAAAAAAACCATTGCAGTGATTGCACATTTATGAGGGAATTTTAATGATTTACTTAAGCCTGATTCCTACACTTCCACCCCAACTCTGAAAGCTGAAAGTCAGCACTTTAACCTCATAGTCATTCATTCACTGGAAATGAGTGTCCTGTGGCAGAGCCAGCAACGAAAAACACATGAGTCTCCAAATGATCGTGGCTTGTCACTGTGTCTGCAGTTGTGCGCAGTATTTGGGGGTCCAGTATTAATAGCATTAGTTGACAGCTGTGTATCTTTGGTTTCTTCCTTAATGTAAACAGCTTGCACCAGGCTTATCATTGCTAACTGCACGTTGTAACTGTTTATGCAACATTAATTCAACAAAAAAAAATCATGACAGCTGTGAGGATATCCTGTGTGGTCATGGGGCAGCCACAGTTTAATCTTAGGCCTTTTGGAATTTGCAAGTCTGTTCCTTTTTTTTTTAAATTCGTTCTACACTTGGAAGCAATTCATATTTCATGCTTTGTTTACTATGCAATGACTCATTTAAGTTATAATTTTCTAGGCCCTCCACCATTAAGGACACATCATTGCCCTCATGCATTAATCATCTGACGAGATGGAGTTTAACTAACTCTGTGTGATGCGGCTTCTGTTTTTTTTTTTTTCTACTCTAGACTGATGTGAAGAGTAGAAGTATTGAACCACCTATTAAAAAGTTGGAGCCTAAGTTACTTCAAGGTAAGTTTATTTTCTGCTTTATCCAAAGAATAGTTGACACCATAAAAAGTTAACAGCAGATCACACATTCTTTGCGTATTTACATTTTATTTAGACATGATGTTAAAAACCAGACAAAGGGCAAAGGGAGAACGTCATTAAGTAAGCAGCAGATTTTAACTTTGGAAAACAGATTTGTAATTTGTCATTGTTTAACTAACTTGAGAAAGCATTGTCTTTAGTCTGGTTCCTGACTTGCTTACCTTTTTTTCTTTTTTTTTCTTTCAGTGTTTCAATGAAACAATATAGTCAAATCGGAGCTAGGCTTGATTATCAGGATAACCTGTCTTTGTACTCATAGCTTTTATCGTAAGTCCCATCTAAACTGTCCAGAAAGGTGTCTGAGTAGTTTGTTCTGAATAAATTGCCTTTTTAACACAGTATGGTGAGGTGGAACAGGAACATTTTCTCAAAATTAGTCGGCCCTAAAATGTAGATACCTGGGATTGTTTTGAGGCATTAAACAGTCAACCTCAGCAACGGGCTGTGAGAGTTCAGCATAAAGCTTCTGAAATAGAGAATGTTGTACTTTCGTTTGCATCACTGTCGGTAAATGTTGCATTTCCTATGTGGTCTTAAAGTCTCTAGAATTTGCCATGGAAGGCTGGATGAAGCTCATCTTGTGCACTTGGATAATAAGTCATCCGGTTTTTTGTTTTACATAGCTGACAATGTTTGATCGGACGGGTCTAACAAGAATTTCAACTCGTGCAAACAGGCTGCGCTGTCTCAACCTAAGCTAAAACAAATCTTTTTTATTGCCTTAAATCCTTCCTTATTTACCATTTTCATCTTCCCCACACAAGATACAAAGCATTTAGATCCATCAAGATCATCTTTGTTGTCAAGATAAGAAGAGTGAAAACATCACAATCTACAATTATACAGTGCCGTCATATGTTTAAATTAGCAATATAGCTTTTGAGATGTTGAAAATGATAATTTCCTGTAAAGTCAACAGAAAGGAGCATTGCTAAATTAAAAAACATATGTCAAATAGAAAGGGAAGCAAAGAGAAGAATAATCGCCTAAGATGTTGCTAAATTAGTTAGAAACTTCTCTTTCTTTTTTGCCCCAGTTCCTGAGCGTGTCTGTGCCTTCCTCTCTCTATTTGTATCTACTTTTAATTTTACCTTCCCAGGCTTCTGCAGCAATTGTAATAACTCATTTTTAAATTAAAAAAACTATTACAAATTTCTTTACATAATCAGATTCTTATTCAGTGTGTTACTTTCTATAAATATGTTCAACACAAACCCACGTAGCACTGGCAATCTGTAACTGTTTCTCAGACTTCAATGCATTTGTCAATTAGTGCCTCCCTTTATCTGAACCATCAGTGCAGGTGCTGTAACAGGCTTTTGTTCAGTCGGTTTTCTCACGATGCGAGTGCACCCTCTCTTGAGGATTCAGAAACATCACCCTGCCAGTGACATTTGCGTGAGCAGCAGTTTGGTGCTCTTTGCAGCACAGGTCAACGTAGCCGTTTTTTTAAAACAAAATCGTAGTAATGTGGATGTAGCCTTGGTGTCTCCACGTGTCAGCCATAGGAAGTTACGTTGGATTTTAAATAAGGATCAATGCATGTTTTCCCATGACGGTGCCAAGGTCTTAAGTGTAGTTCATAAACTGTTTCCCACAGGTTGAGAATTTACTCGTGGTGGTCGGTGGCACGGATTCATGGGCATGTTTAGTAATAGACTAGTCAAACAACGGTTTATAAATAACTGTATTTATTGCTATAACTATTTATAAATAAATATTTACAGGTATGTGTCTATGTATGGGGAAACTCTGAACTTGAGCAGCAGGAAAGCCTTCTCTTTATTGAGTTCTTTGGTTTCAGGTCTGAGCATTTAACTTGGGAGCCTCATGGGAGTGGTTGGACACACCCTTGCATAGCATTACGTTGTGTTATTTGCAGTAAATATACAGTGATGTCCTCTATAAAAGAAAGAGAAGACTTAAGCCATAAATTAATTGTAGTTGTCAGTTTTACATCTTTTTACGGTTTCTAGAGCCGCTATAAAAAAACCTGCTGTACTCCAGTGAAGTTTGTTTTATTTCCGCCGAGGTTGACATTCCAATTTTAACTGACTACTCGCTAAATGGCTTGTAAAACAAACTTTCCATCCATTGCCAGGAAGCACTGCCAGTCGTTCCTTTCCCATCTTGATTTTGGAGCTGATCAGAGGACCAGGTTTCATGAACAGCTTACTGTACGTTTCCTGCATGCTGCTCTGAGGCAGTCCTTTGATGTGACTGTCTATAGGACTCCACCCTGCTGCTGCACTTCTCCTCTTTTAAAAATCCCCGGGGAAACCTTTTATAGCCACATTCCTGTCTAACCGTTCGTTTAGTGATCATGTTAAGAGGCAAAGGTCATGTTACTTATAAAGATAGAATATGAAAAGCTGCCTTGTCAGCCTAAAAGCTCAAGTAAAATCTATGATGTGGCTTGCATGTGGCAGAGGTGAAGGCGTTACTCTCACACTTGTTGTCACAGAAACTTTGGACATGTTGTGGCTTTTTTGTGCTCAACAGAAAGCTTCAGCTTTATCAGATCATTTAGCTTTTGGTTTTCAGAATCAGAAATACAGAAACACAGACGCAGTCATGCTACTCTCACAAAACAGCATTCGAGATGAGATAAGTGGAAGTGATAACATACTTATTGATATATAAGTGAAATTATTTTTTAAGTTTATTTTTATGAAAACATATTAATACACATTAATAATTGGATATCAGTGAGATTTTATGATTTAAACCACAAACACATTTAATAATAGATGGCTTAATTAATAATAAATGTGTTATCTTTTGTGTGATTATTGGAATTTAATTGAATAAAGGATAGCACATTGTACTTTTTAGCCTGGTAACAGGATGCTTCTAAATTCACTGCAGAAATTTGAGTGCCGGTATGTTCGGAAGGTCAAGCCAATTAATGATTTTCCTTACTTTGTCTCTTTTGTCTTCACTGTCTGTATTCTTCATTGAACTGTAGTTGCACACTGTAGGGTTTACACTTGCATGTTTGTTTTTTCCTCACTCGATTGTCACCAGGGGAGATCGTAGTTAATGAGGTGAACTTTGTGAGGAAATGCATCAGCGCTGAAAGCAGCCAGGATGACCTTTGGGGGAAGTTGATATGCACCAACTTTAAGGTCTCCTTCATCCCTCAAGATGCCCCACCAAAACAGGTATTTGTGTAGACTGACTTTAAAACAGTCAAACTGTGCTGTTTTGAATTTTAAGCCATTCTCAGTAGTTAAAAATAAACTGTAAAAATATAATGCTGTTGGTTTGATGTTCTGCCATTATGAGCCTTGGGTGCCAAAACCACATTTTAACTTCCTCATACTGTTCTTTTAAAGTGTCGCGTGTATTACATTTGAAAAAAAGACTCGGCCTCCAGTTTTAGCTTTCTGTTTGTGAGATCCATTTGTGCCACCAGCATACTGCAGTACTTGTATGTGTAGTGCATCTGGCCTGAGGAAGGAAAACTGTACTTTCCTGCACTACATTGTCGGTGATATCGCACAAGAAGTGAGAGAACAGACGTCATTTCCAACTATGCGGAAGATTGTTCTCATAATAACAAAATGGTACTTGATCATTGTTCAGCCTGAGCACATCAACTCGATCTACCCACTAGTGTTAGAGATAGTATTTCAGTGAGTTACCGCTGTAATATAATGGCTACAGAATACAGGATGTCTAACATACTTTTTTTGCTGTTTGCTTTTACCACAGAAGTCCAAGTTGTCCCACCTCCTGCTTGGAGAGCACGACATCCCCCTCACCTGTCTGGAGCAAGTAGTAACAGGTACATTTTCTGCCAACATTTGTAAAATAACATTTGTTTTGTTTTTTTAAATACTCTACTGGTTTGTTATTGTCAGCGTATTGACATTTACCTATTGACTTCCATATGTGGAAATCTTTTTACCAGCGCCCAAAGTTTATCCGGAATCAATCACTTTGTCTAATCAGTAGCCGTAATACCACAAACCATTCATTTCCTAATGATACTGCACAAATAAAAGACAGATAATGTAAGCATTGTGAAAGTATATTCAGCAGATGTTTAATCGCTTTCTCAATCGAATCTCTTGATTGAATAATTGCTTGGCCATCTTTTCCACAAACACCAAGCATCCTAACTCTGTCATGTTACAAGAGTGAGCTACAATCAGAATTAAAGTTAGATGGGCCCCTCATTAATCTTTGATAGCTCGGGTGACTGGTCTCGTCTATTGTGCTCTCACGGTCAGCAATCCGATAACAAGTGATGTCACAGCTAAAGCAGTGATTAGTGGCAGTGCAGCCTGGCTGGGATTAGCCTTGTTTATATATCGCATGGCTGTCATTTGCTGACACTGCAAGGGCGACTGCTCAGGACAAGATTTGCTGTGTTGCAGTGATGAAGCATGAGGTTTTGTTTTACTCAGCTTCTTTTTGACCTGTTTGAACTAGGCTACTGAAGACGACATTATCATTTTGGAATTTGTAACAATATAGGAGCATTAGTAATGAGAGGAGCCCAGTGATTGGTAATATCAATAAAATCAAGTATCAGAAAGTTTTGACTGTACTGAAACCTGATATTTTGGGAACCATTGCTTGTGTTCTAACACAATCTGCTACAGAGTTTGCAAAGCCATGTTTACATCAGGAATTAAAATGTGATCTGTATATGTTTAGGTCAAGGTCATGGGTTATTGTTCTGCATAAATGCAGCACTGTTCTTATAACTTTAATCCAAACATGATGTATTGATGGATTAACTACATTATATTACATATGTAATATATTGACCAAAAAAGCAGTGTTTTGATGTGCCACACAGTTTTTCTTTATTGGTTGCCAAATTCTTGTTGCTGTGTCTTATTTGATATAAAGTGTCACGCTTTTCAGACACATTATGAAATTTGACGTTTTTTGTATTCTTTGAATAACACAAAAGACAGTTATTCACCCCTGGCAGAAGTGTGTGTTGAGTGTTTTCCAATCTTGCATATGAATTGCCATCTTCCTCAGTGGAAGTTTTCTAGTCATATTTTTTCTTTGTTCTTCTCAGTAAATGATACAAAGGGGAAGAAGAAAGTGTTGGGGTCAAACCAAAAGTTGAAGTTCAACCCAACAGAGCTCATTCTCTACTGCAAAGACCTGCGCATCATACGGTTCTGCTTTGATGAGGCTGGGCCTGAGAGTGCCAAAAAGGTGAGTGGTACAGAATATTCCCAGTTTGATTTATATCAAATCCAGTGAGTTGATGGTGGTCTTTTTATATATCATATTAATGCTTTTCAGACTCTCACAAGCAACCAAAACAAACTTGCTGTCACAGGAATCATATAAAGATTCTGTGTGTAGTGTCTTGAACTGGTCGCTTCGTGCCATACCTTCAAATGACTAATTGCTGAGTTTAGGCTTTCCCTTTTTCTCAGTTTCCGCTGCCCATTTCACTGTTAGTTGTTGCTGACTAAACTTTTCCTTTCCTGACTGTGTGAGCTTACTATATGCATACACTCAGATTCAGTGCTATGACCTCTTCCTCAGCAACAAGGATATTTACATCATACAAACTGACTAATGACTAATTTTCAAAAACATTTTCAGTGTGGCCATTAGCCAAACAGTGAATAAGAGACACTGAGAACAATGCTCAATCAGGGTAAAGGAAACTGAGACTGATTGTTGGAACAATTGGCAACGTGACTCTGAGTCATCTCCTGCAACGAGTTGATGGGAGAGATGTTTTTTCTTCAGATTGAGCTTAGTTTGATGGATCTGTAACTCAGTTAGGTTTACCAGTTTATATTGCTATAATGTTTTGATATTTTGGGGCTGACTCGTGGTGATTTCAGAAGATAGTTGCACACAAAGGAAGTTAAAGGAAATCCTTATGACCAATCATGTAGAGGCGTTCTCCTTTAGCTAAAATAATATAAGCACAGAAACTGGGGCAATGGACAGGAAAAATCTGAATCAGTCATTGACAAAAACACTTTTAATGGACGCACTTTGAGAATATGTAATTGCCTGCAAGAATAATGTTGTTTAGCAGCACAATGCAGCACTCTCTCTCAGTACAAGACCAAATTCAAAAGATGTTGTATAGTCATGTTGGGCAAAATAAGGTCCAGATTGAGAAATACCAAGATTTTCAGGCATGTTTAGTTAATTTTGTTAAAATGTTAGTAGCACAAACAGTCAAACCAGGACGTTTTCACCTTGGAAAGACCTTTGCCGGTCGATGGACATTTTTTGTGGACAGCTCGATCGCTAAAAAATTGAAAACAATGCACGAAAAAACTTCACGCTACGCTCATGTAAGCCAGATTATGGTAAAAACTTGTGTATGTGTAAAAACATTCCTGGACAGTCCTGGACATACATGTGTATTTGTGAATTATGTGCACAAAGCCTCATGTAGCCTCACTACATGACCCATAAGAGTTAGGCAGCTGTATATCTCTTTACAGTGTGCCAGTGAAACCTATATGAATTTGGATGTACGCAGTAAATTGCATGTCTGATCTCCTCCCCTGTCATCTGGGAGCAATTTTTGTGGAGGGGTTGGAAGACTTGGAGCTCCACAGCACATACCTGCAGCTCAGTTGGCTACCAACAGCATGACAGTATGGCACTGCAGTGAACAGTCTTAGGCCAGTGTGTTACAAGTCTATTTAATTTATTTACATTTTTACTTTGTGTCCTCTGTTACATACAACAGACGGGAAGATTGATTGTGTGTACAGCACTGAGACAGAAATAAGTCTGCCCTCCCTCACTCCTTGTGAGTTTATTTATGGACACCATGTATGTAATTACAGTGTTAACCTAAAACTGGACTCAGTTCTTTTTTGTTTGATTTTTCCTTGTGACATATGGAATTAAGCCAACCTATAATAGCTTATTTTGCCATAGGAAATTACAGAGTTGGGAGCAGCCTCGTCCACGCACTCACACACACACACGCAGGGACACACACACTTTTTCTGTGTCCTCTTGTGTTATTCACAGCTTTACTACTGAATGGACTGCTTTGTGTGACTCCAGTGGAGCCACAGAGAGATTCAGTCCTGTAAACCCAGAGCACCGGGCTGTCAGTTAGACATTTGCCTTCCCAGGTTTCACTTGTTGTTGCGTTGGTATGGTTACAGAACAGGCCTCAGAGTTTGTTTTAGCACTCTAAGTGAACTTGAGTTAAAAAGCCTAATTTGCCATGATAATGTTTAAGTGATACCACCATTCAGCTTTCCTTGTATTGTAATGCATGTCCCATAAAAGTGCTTTTTATTTTATTCTAGGTTTGCCTTGCTATTGCCCACTATTCCCATCCAGCTGATCTTCAACTGCTGTTTGGCTTTGAGTATCAAGGGCGGCGATACCATGAATCTAAAGGTACACATATAGCATGCCATATTTCTTCTTTTACTGGTAAAAGACATAACATGTTTTTTATTCTTAACTAACTGTTAGTACCTGTTATTCTGTCCTCCCAACCCACATTTAGGAATAATGAATTCCAAATCTGACTAACCAGGTTTAATTTTTCTGCATTATGCACAAGATATAACCTCAAAGTGAATCTGTATTTCCAGGAGAGCGCTTCAATGGTTCCACCCCTCGAGGAGGATTACAGACCCCCATTTTTGACCGTCCATCAGACTGGGATAGGGAGATCAAGAGAACAGGAGCATCAGAGTGGAGGGTGTGCTCCATCAACGAGAGTTATGCCATCTCACAAAGGTTTTCAGCTCATGTTGTTTGTTGTAGGCAATTTATGATGTGCGTCATAGGCAGAGCATGTCTGTAGCTCTTTCAGTTGGCCCTAGTTGTTACGGATACTCTAAATTTCACCATTTACTCATACTTGGTATGTTTTGGCAAGACAGTGTATTTACATTGTAAGTTTTTTTTTTTTT